ACAACAACAACAACAACAACAACAGGCAGAGGATGGGTGAAGAAGTTTTATGGGGGTGGGAAATGTGGGATATGGGTGAAATAATAATAATAATAATAATAATAATAATAATAAATAGATAGTGATTATGATAGCCAGGGAATGAATGAAGAGGTTTTTTTGGAGGGAAGATGTAGGATGTAGATGAAATAATAATAATAATAATAATCGATAAGGGATGGATGAATGGAGAGTTTTTTGGGGGAAGTTGGGATATAAATAATAATAATAATAATAATAATAATAATAATAGTAACAACAGGTAGAGGATGGGTGAAAAGGTTTTTTGGGGGGTGGGAAATGTGGGATATAGATGAAATAATATTAATGATATTGATGATGATAATGATGATGATAATAGGTAAGGGATGGATGGAGAGTTTTTTGGGGGAAGTTGGGATATAAATGAAAATAATAGCAACAACAACAGGCAGAGGATGGGTGAAGAGAGTTTTTTGGGTGGTGAGAAATGTGGGATACAGATGAAATAATAATAATTAATAATAATAATTAATAATTTACAATCGTGATAATGATGATGACAATGATAGCCTGGTGAAGAGTTTGGTGGGGAACTGGGATATAACAACAACAACAACAACAACAACTATTATTATTATTATCAACAACAACAGGCAGGGTACGAATGAGGTTTTGTTTGAGGGGGGAAAGTTGGGATATAAATGAAATAACCATAATAATAATGATGAAGTGTATGATGATTATGATAGCCAAGGGATGGATGAAGAGTTTGGTGGGGAGATGGGATATAAATGAAATAATAACAATAATAATAGGAAGAAAAAGAAGGGATGGATGAAGAGTTTTTTGGAGAGAAGAAGTGGGATATACAGTAGATGAAATAATTATAATAATTATAATGATGATAGCCAGGGGATGAGTGAAGAGTTTGGTGGGGAGGTGAGATATAAATAAAACAAATAATAATAGTAATAGGAAATGCATGAAGATATTTTTGGGTGAATGTGGGATATTGATGAAATAATAATAATAATAATAATAATAATAATAATAATAATAATAATAGCACCAGCAACAAGGGGATGAGCAAAGAGTTTGATGGGAAGCTGGGATATAAATGAAACAATAACAACAACAGTAACAATAATAGGCAGGGTATGAATAAAGTTTACTGTGGGGAAATTTGGGATATAAATGAAATAATAATAGTGAGGATGAGGAGTGTGATGATCATGATAGCCAAGGGATGGGTGAAGAGTTTGAGGGATGGGGTATAAATGAAATAGTAATAATAAAAATAATGAGGGGATGGATGAGTATAATATAAATGAATATAAATGAAATAGTAATAATGATGATGAGTATGATGATTATGATAGTTGGGGATAAATGAAGAGTTTAGAGGTGAGTGGGATATAGGTGAAATAATAATAATAGCAATAATAGGCAAGGGATTATTATAGGTAAGTATTATTATTATTATTATTTCTTATTTAGTTTAATTTCATTTCATGATCTTGTATATTTTGATTTTATGTGTTTTCTGTTACATTGTGTTTCCTGTCTGCAATTGGCTAGCTTGCTCACAGTTGCATTGCACTGATTCCATTTGTATCACTCCTTCCTTCCCATATTTTTTGTACAAATTAAATTGTATGCCTTTGGCAGGGCTGCCTGTCTCTTTTATTGTTTTGTTGTGTACATGGATGGCACTATATCAACAGATGATAATGATCCTTGTCTCCCCATCCCTCCCAAGAAATATTTTTGTTCCCCTCCTGCAAAAGAACTGCTTCTGAGTTTGCAGCACTGTACAAGTTTTGTTTGCATGATTTAGAAAAGGCTACAACCCTCCATTTAAAATAGCCTTTATCAATCTGCATCCCTCCTAATGTTTCTGGCTACAACTCCCACCATCTCTTACCATCCCTGGCCATGATTTCAGTAAGGGATTTGACAAGGTCCCCCATGATATTACAAACAAACTATAAGATGTGGGCTAGACAATACAACTGT